ACACACACACACACACACACACACACACACACACACACACACACACAGACACTCATTTGTAAATTTCCATCATATAAGTAGATCTAAATATGTACAACAATGTAACCAATTCCTCAAGTGTCCTTCTAAACCAAATACTGAATGAATCACAAATAACTGATTTGAAAAATATATAAAGTGAAAATTGTAAATCATCCCAAAAATAATTTTGATTAAGGGATAGAGGTGGAGATATTATGCTTACCTTGGATGCTGCTCCTCCATTAATAATTGACTTGACAAAGATCCCCAAATCTGCATGGTTTTCTTTGGACCGGTTGCCTTTAACACTGACTCCAAGACCAGCAGATCCAGAGTCATTAAGTGGAACTTCAAATGTCAGAAATTCCCTAGTGCCATCAGGTGTAAGAACAAGATCCTCATCTTCTGCTTTCTATTAAGGGGGGAAAAACATACACACAGAACACGACATTATTTTGAAATGTTTCTTTTTAGCCCCATTACCTTCTTTAGAGTCTAACAAACAGTTCCTTGATTGCAATATCCACAGTGTTTCCACAGAAGTTCCATGAGAAGATCCACATTAATAATGTGCATGCATTCTACCAGATGATTCCTGGAGCCAGATGTTAATATTTATAAGTGATACTTGTTTCAATATTGAAACAAATCTGAACCAGATTATGAGAAAAACACCAAATGTACTGGAAGCATTGAAGACCCTTTAATTCTTTAGTTCTGGACTCCTATGGTTTTTAAAAAGTAATTTCTTCATCTGTTTATGCCTTCTAAGCCACAGGAGGAAAACAGAAACAGCAGGAATCCAGATAAATAAATAAAATTACTCATTTGGTCCAATTCCTGTATTAGGAGCTCATGGTGTTCTTAAATAACAGAATTAAGATAGTTTAGTCTCTATTATTAATGGTGAAGCCTAGATTATTCATGGTCATCAAAAGACAAAAACAAAATGGAGAATGGGGTATAATGGGAACAATAGTGGATTTGGAACCGAAAGATTTGAGTTAAACTTTGTTTCAAATGCCTAAATTTCTCTGAATCTTATTAGATTAATTTGTCACAGAAGTAAAATGGGTGCTCTGCATACTCAATGCAGTGCTGTTGTCAAGATGTAAGGAAAAAAATGTATATAAATATATGCTATTAATTCCACACTGCCATTCCAACGTGTTCGCCACATTATTCAACTAATTTCACTTTTCATACTTATGAGAACATAGTGAAGACCAATGCAAACTGCATTAAATTAATAGCAATATACTGTCCTATGTCTCCCAAGGCTTGTGATATTCACATAGTAAATATGAGAATAATTGAGCGACCTATACTTTCAGGGTGGTAGTCAGGAAATTTATTGAAAATGGATGAGAGAATGAGGTGAGGTGATTCAAATAACAGAAGGTCATAAGTAGACTTCAAATATAGAAGAACAGTGGCTGATTCCCAAATTCAGGAAGAAAATTAAAAAGAAAATAAGAAATTGCCTATCCTGAAGCATGTAGACTGTTAGGCTGTTATAGTAAGACTTTATAGACAGCAAAGATCTGGGTTCAAACTCTGCCTCAAATACTTTGACTTCAGGCAAGTCACTTGACTTCCCTGGGCCCCAGTTTGCTCATTTATAACATAAGGGGATGAGATTTAATGGCCCATGATCCCTGCCAGGTCTAAATCTATTATTCTCCTATTCTATGTTAGAACAAGAATATATTTGTCATGTAGCACAGTGGAAAGAATACTGGGTTTGAAACCTACCTCTGTCACTAACTAGTTGTGTGATTTTGACCAAGTTCACTTATCTTATTAAGGCAGACTTTCCTCAGCAACAAATTTAGGGGATTTCATTATCTTTGAGATCTTTTCTCATTCTAAAATTCAATTATTCTCTTCCTGGGGTCTTTAAAAGTAATATAGAAGTTCATCTAGGATGGTTTCAAATGGTCTCAAGCAAGGGAGAAAATAGATGACCTCTATATGAACTAAGAAAATTTTCACCTTCTAAAATTCTAATGTATTGTGATCTTAAGATAAAATTTCCCTTAAATTAATATCTAGTTTTAGGTTTCAATGACAGTACTTTCTAAGCCCAACCCCCCACAACTAACTTCTAGTCAAAAGCACAATACAATTCACAGTCAAACTTCACTGATATGGTTTCTGGCTGAGAACTCTAACAGGTTTTCACAGTAACAAAAAATAAAGAATAAAATACAAAAACACAATTTGTTAAGGAGGTTAGCTATTCAAAACATCATATTTTCAATAGAAAATGAAAAGGAAACAAGAGTTTAATTGGAAAAAAATCTTCCTTGGATTTGGCTGTGCCTAAAAGGAAAGTTCCAGGTCAAAAGAAATGCAGGGACTTGTTCACATATTAGGGCATAGGACTAGGCCTGGGATTTCATTAGTGTAGGGAACTCTAAGGGCACCTAGGTACCACAGCAGATAGAGTGCCAGCCATGGAATGAGGACTTGGGTTCAAATCTGGCCTCAGATTTGAACCGTTTGTTGGCAGACTCTAAACTCTAAACACTTACAAGCTGTGTGACCCTGGGCAAGTCACTTTACCATGTTTTCCTCAGTTTCCTCATCTGTAAAAACGAGCTGGAGAAGGAAATGATAAGCCACTCCAGTATCTTTGCCAAGAAAACCCCAAATGGGGTCAAGTAGAGTAAGACATGACTGAAAAGACTGAGCAACAACAGGGAACTCTAAGATAAGAAAACTTCTACCCATGTAAGGGAACACCTTCTGTGTAATTTCCTTTTCTCTTGTTGTTTTCCTTGAGAGAAGGGACTTTTTTTTTTCTTATTTGTATCCCCAACAGTTAGCACAGTGCATGGCATGCAGTAGATTCTTAATATATACTCAATGAATTGAACTTATAGTCTTCAAAATTTGTCAAGAGCACAGAAGCATGAAGTGATTTGCCCAGGGTCACACAGCCAGTATGAGTCAGAGGTATGACTTGAACCCAGGTCTTCCTGGTTCCAAGGATAGCCCTCCATCCACTACACCATGCTGCGGCTGTTCACATATTGGAAAAGTAAATTACCTTCCAAGAACTGGATAAAACATAAATATTCATAAGAAGACATATGCACTATGAGGCTTAAGAAATAAAAATCAACTTACTTTTGAAACAATTAGAGAAAACACTCTTATTCAAAACTGATTTCTTGAAGTAAAGGTCATTTTAAATTACTTCAGCTAAATGAATGAAGCTACTCAAGCATGTAATTTGTAATAATAATGGGATGGGTGATAAGGTGATTCTCGGCACTCTCCTTTAGGGCCTAGGAAATACCTAGACACATTAAAATCATAACAATGTATTTTTACACTATAGAGATATGACATAAGTATAGTACAACTATTGAAAGATAATACAGTCTTCAGAAATCAAATGTGACAGGATGAATAATCTTTGAAGCTGTCCTCCACCCCAAAATGATGTAGATAATGGCACATAGGACAATTACATAATTCATTGGCTGAAGAGGCATAAGTAGGAATTTTTTTTACTTCTGACTGCTGCAGAGTAGGGTAAGGGGGAAAGCTGTAGTGCAGAAGACATGAACAGGATCGGGTTGGGAGCTGGCAGAATTTAAGGTCATGGACCCTCCAAAGACAAGGGCCTTGGTGCTCAAGGAGGAGGAAGGGTTTCTATAGACCTACAGCTGCCAAGATAAAGAGTGCCTTCAAGGTCTTCACTGGCAAGAGATGCCAGCAAATATTTATTGAGCATCCTGGAGAGGGTGTGTCTCTCTGTATTTTGTTCAAGTTGGAAAGAGAGGGACTCAGACAGGGCCCCAGGAAATTCAGCAACAAGGGCTGTGTCTTCAAGGGGAGGGAAATAAATCTCAGGAGCAAGGATACTTTAGCAAGAGAAGAGAATGACATCCCTCTCCTAATTCCCTTGTCCTCTACTATGCTGTGATTCCCCAATTCTCCCACTGGTTCCAAGGATCTAGCTCTTCCTACCCCAGTGGAGGTACAAGCAAAGTCTATAAGAAACAAGAAACAGTTTCCAGATAAATGAGAATACCCCATCCCACTCTAGAAAGTATGCCCACTGAATGTTGACATGAAGAGCAACAGTTTGACATATGATATCGCACTTTCAGATATGTTTGTCCTATCATTCCCATAGAGAAAGCTGACCCAGGGGCAGCTAGGTGATACAGTGTATAGAGCTCTGGCCTTGGAGTCAGGAGGATCATAGCTCAAATCCGGCCTCAGACAATTGACACTTACTAGCTGTGTGACCCTGGGAAAGTCACTTAACTCCAATTGTCTCATCGAAGGAAAAAAAAAAAGAAAACTGATCTAAACTCAGACCCACAAAAAATCAGTAACTTAGAGGAATATATTAAATTATGATTTAAAGAAAAACAAAACTATCTTCAAAAGTAACTTCCTTAAATAGCATTTGCACTGGTACCTTCATTGAGGTTGCCATATCATTTCCATTTGAAAAAAATGTAGAGAAAAGTTGTCAGGTATATGAGATAAATTGTATTTTTCAATAAAGTTAGGATAATCTCCTGACAGGGCCATTTATGATTCAGCTTTAGAGAGGGCAAGATTAACCGTCCCCAGGTTTTATTTGTTGTAGAAATAGGACTTGTTTTCTTCTCAGCTTGGCTTGTCTTCATTATCATTAAAAATATTTAAAGGATAAACTGCACTTTACATAAAATGTTTTTATTATACATCCATGCAGGTCCAGGCACAGGTACCTAAAATCAATTGCTGTTTTATGGCTATATTTTTCATATTAAGTTATTGAGGAATTCCTCTCAAAAAAGTTTGGGCTATACATTTTATTATAAATAACTCTTAACTCTCTGTACTGACAAATGAGTCTAGTGAGCACATTTCAATCCATCAATGGTTAACCTTCTGCTGCTTCTGATGCTGCTCAGGGTGAGTACTTTCAGTCCTCACTAGGATACTTATTTGATTTACAAGTATCTCCCTTAGCCTCCATTTTCTCATCTGAAAAATGGGGATGATAACACTTCTACTATTTACTTGGCAGGGATATTGTGAGAAAAAAGAACATTGGAGACCTTGAAATAGCACAGAAATGGAAACTATCAATAATGCTCAGGCAATTCTATTCTAATAAAGCTCAATACTTTTCTTAGCTTTCCTTCTTCTACCCAGAATCTCAGCTAGGTGGTGCAATGGATAGAACATGGGAAGCGATATAAAGAAGACCTGAGTTTGAATTTTGCCTCAGGCATTTAATAGTTGTGTGGCCCAGATCAAATCATTTAAGCTTTCTCAGCTTTCCTGTCATCATTTGGAAAATACGGGGGTTTAGACTTCATGGTCTCTAAGGTATCTTCCAGTTCTTAAATTCTTATGTTATGGCTCTCTACAAGAATGATACAAGTGCCCCCATGCCCACCCCCTCAATGCTGTATCTCTTCCTTTTCCTTACTTCCTATTCATGATCACTATTACTCATCTCTAAAAATCTAGTGAGTGTAGAGAAAGGCTAAATGAAGTCTTGTGGGGGGGGGGGGGGGGGGAGGAAGGGAAAGAGAAGAGGGAGGGGGAGAGAGAGCGAGCATACAAATCTAACTCAAAAGTTAATCTAAAATATGTAAAAAATGACAGAAGCACAATAGAATGATGACTTTGTTGGTGTTTATAAATGACAGTAACTTAGTAAAAAAAAAATTTTTTAAATAGCTAGAGGTGACAAAATAGTGATGGCATGGAAGGATCATTTTACAAACTCTCTGAAAGGGAAAGATGTGAAAAGAATGGGGGGGGGGGGGGAGAGGGAGAATCACAGATGGTAGAGGATATTAATATCCCCAAAGGCATCAAAAGAACAAGAAGTGTTTAGCACATAGAAATCACTTGTTAAATATTTAGTGACAGACTGACCAACCCATAGGCTTACTTTCTCACCTTTATAAAATCTTGATGAGAATGATCTACATACATGTCAAGGGTATCCTTGATGACAATATGTGAAGGGAATAGACAGGAATCCACAGACAAGCCTCAACAGTAGATCACATCTTTCTAGTCTTATAATAGGCTGAAAGATGCTGATTGTTGATTATTTAAAAAACAAAAAAAGCTTCAACATGAAGGCACAAAACTGAGCTTTAAATTCTTTTCACCAGCAAGGAGTCTCCAATGCAAATGTTATGTTCAACTGAAAATTTTTGATAAATGCTACTAAAGGGAAATTTTTTTTCATGAAATTTATGTTAATATTAAGTGAAGTAGCCATATCAACAATATTTCCCCCCTAAATATTGTAATGGCAATGTATGCAAAACTATATAATTTATAATGATCTAGCTTATGCAAACATCTACCATTACAATCCAAGAGGTGGGTGGAGACACTGAAGCAAAATTACTGAGTATTTACATGAATATGTTTTAGCATATTTCAGTGTTCACAACACATTAAGTGTTCTGCAGTATACACCTGTAATTTGATTCCTACGTATCTTGGGGGCAAGACATTTGGAGCATGCATTTTAACTGCGATGATGAGAAAAAAACAAAACTCTTTTATCCCTAAAAAAGCAAAATGCTTTGGAAGAAATAAAGGGATAGAAAATAAAATGAGCTCATCTTAATTTTAAATCAAAACTTAAAAAACCCCTCCCCCCCTTTTGTTTCTAGGTTAAGTGTTTTAATTTCCCCCATATGTTAGATAAACACTAATGAATCTTATTTGTACATATATGCTGAGGTTCATTATTCTTATTAGCTAAGCTAATATGTCACATCTGGCAATAATTAAGCTCTTTGACAACTCAAATACCAGCTGCTAAATAATAGAAACAAAATCTAAATATTTTTAGAAAATTTGGTTTGCTTTTGTTTTAATCCTAATATAACTGGAGATCTTTCATATGTTAGATGCAGATTATATTTGTGCTTCCTCCCCCAAGTACTGAACTAGAAAGGTGGAATTACTTCATTTCGAATGATTTTCCTTATTTCAAGACTTTTATTTAAAATAGTTACTACTACAATAACAAAACTGCTTTCTTAAACTAATTTTCTATAATGCTATCAATGTTATCGTGATATTGTATTGAAAAGTGCAATAGGAGCCATTCTTACAAAGAACAAAAAAAAAATTTTCAACATGCTTTCTGTTAGCAAGAATAAATACTTCCACATGGATTCTTAATCTACATAAGAATTGATATATACTGCCTGTCTACAGCAATAGTTTATCAAGACCAAAAAACTAAGTTTCTGTCTACTCGAGTTAACAATAAGAGTATTTCTAACTAACTCAGAATCATTATTTATGGAATCTGATCAAACACCCACAAGTTCCATAAACAATTTTTTTACTTTGATTATGCTTTTTCTGAACAGAGATTACAAACAATTCAAATTACAATAAACTCAAATCTAAGATTTTTGATTTCTCATAATTTTGCCAAGCATTAAAATAAAATGTGTTTTGTTAAATAATTATAAGTATTTCCTAAGCATTATGGAGCTAAAGAAGAATTTTTAAAAAGTGGGTGGTGTTTACTCTATGAGAATCTCCCAAAGCCCAACATAAGAACAGAAGGCAATAAATGATATCCATTTGCCAGCCTAGATTCAGAATTTTATTTCCTTCCTTGGTTTTTCCTTCATCATATGAAGGTGCCCAACTCATCAGCTATAGTTGGTCTGCTACAAGCTCAGGTCTGCTGGCTGTTTGGGATGCCATTTTTCTCAGAGACATCTATCTGTCCTCATGACCTCGTAAATTTTACTTAAAATTTCCATAATTCCTTCTAACTATGGCAAAGTCATCTAATTCTAGTCAAAAAGAAATTGTTGCCACTTTGGGGAGGGATCATTTCCCACACAATAAACAGAGGGTGGTTCCTTAATTTGTTTCAAAGCAGACAATCTCTCAAGTCAATGAAAGTGCTCCTCCATGCTTATTCCTTCTTCATTGTGGAAAGAAATAGAAAACTATTGTAGTATCTCAATTTTGTATGTAATTTTAGAAATGTTTCAAGGTGTCTCTCAATCAGGTGCCTAGAAGATATTCACTATTTTGGGGAAAAAGATCTAACTGCTTTATAAACTATATTATAAATCTATGAAACACAATAAGATATGAGGAAAAAATAAAATTCAAGTGTGATTAGTAAAGACAATTAATAAAAACATTAGACTCATATATCTTCCCAAGATTACTACATTCTGCAAAAAAAAAACCAAAAACATAAAATTCTTACCGTTTCTTTGGGAATCTGCATCTGACTTGGTTCTGCATTCTATAAGAATCAAAGAAAAACATCAATTTAGCATGATCAATACTATTTTAAATATTTTTCAACATAGGGAGACAACATTTAAAAAATATATAATTTATTTTTAAAATGAGTCCTTAAAAATCGAAGTATGCAAATTTAAGCTAAAGAATAAAATATACTCCCAGTCAATGAACATATAAGTAGCACTGGTCTAAATTCAAAAAAGCATAAATATTAACAATAGGTGGTTTTAGGATACATAACTATTTTGTGGAATCAGAAATAATAACTTCATTTACATTTTTCTTAAAAGCTAAAATCCATGATAATACTAATGTATGAACAGAATTACTTGACTGTGCCACCAACTTAGTTTGAATGCTACCCTTTTTTTTAAGTTCTTAGACTATGTCCATATATAAAAAGGATATTAATGACAAAAAAGGAGCTTTGGGGAATGTATGGAATTACAAGGTAACCTTAAATTAACTGCAATATTTTGTTGTTACATCACACTTCACTTTTTCATAGTCAATTGTTTTCAATGAATTTGTAGCTTCACAGTAAGATAAAAAGGAAGTAGGGCTAATTAAAAATACGTACCCTTAACAAACAAATATGACTATAGATAGTAACCTGGATTAATACATAAGTCATTTTAGAAAAACATGAATAGACTTGCATGAAATAACGAAGAATGAAATGAACAGAACCAAGAAAACAGAAATATTGTTTTCAAGAACAACTTTGAGTAAGTCATTCTGACTACTATAAATACCCAAATTAACTACAAAGAACTTATGTAGGAAGAGACTATCTGCATCAGGAGAAAGAATCGATAAATAGAAGTATGCATAGAATAATTTTATATATATGTATACATATTTGTGTCTAATGGTAGCCACCTTGAGCATAGGGATAGGGGAAGGAAAAAAGAAAAAAAGAGAAATCTACATGATAATTTTATAGTATATTTTAAAAGAATAGTAAATTGTTCATAATAGACTTGCAGTTTCATGTGCAATCATATTTTTTATTATTCTATGTTATGGAAATGTTTGTTTTATTCCATAAATTAAAAATTAAATTAAAAACATTTTAATGTCATCCCCACCTCCTTGAAACAATTCATTCCCTAAAGGAATGCACACATGGAATAAATTGATGTTTTTAAATGTTTCCAGAATAAGGGAGAAGAACCTAGAAAATAAAAACTAAAAGCCAAAAGTCCTTTATATTTTGGTATAAAATCTGGGAAAGTGTGCAGATGCAATGGAGCAGCTAGGTGGGACAGTGGTTAGAGAACTGGACTTTGAATCAGGTAGTCTGCAATTCAAATGTGATCCAATATACTAACTCAGTAGCTGTGTGACTCTAGGCAAGTCAATTAACTTCTGCCTACCTCAGTTTCCACCCACCTATAAAATAGGAATAATAATAGCACCTACTTCCCAGAGTTGATGAGGATCAAGTATGTGTAAAAATTTTTGTAAAACCTTAAAACACTATATTAATGCAACTATTATCATTATTATCATCATTCCTACTGCTAATACTGTTATTGCTGCTGCTGCTGCTACTACTACTACTACTACTACTACTACTACTACTACTAAACAATTTCTAGGCTGAGACTGCAGGAAAAGGAATCAAAGCATCATTTGAGTTTCCAGATGCCTAGAAGATATTCACTATTTAGGGGCAGTTAGGTGGCACAGTGGATAGAACACCAGCCCTGAAGTCAGGAGGACTTGAGTTCAAATCCAGCCTCAGACACATAACACTCTCTAGCGTGACCCTGGGCAAGTCACTTAACCCCATTGCCTAGCCAAAAAAAAAAAAAAAAGAAGATATTCACTATTTAGGGGAGTGCTTTAGACCTAACCCCAGAGAGGAATTGTGAGATAGAATAGTGAAGAAACTAAATCACTAAATTAAGTGAAGGAAAAGAGCAAAACATTATTCAAACATTGCTGAGAACTATAACAGAGGAGCCCAGAAAGCTAAATTAAAACATTCATCCAACTTTACAGAGAATTCAAACAAAATGATATGATTCCCACACTGTTGAAATGTATCCAGTCTTTCCCAAACCAACATCTATGGGTAACTAAAGTTATATTCAAGGAGATTAAGCAAACATGATTTTACTTTATTTGCAACCTAGCCATCACTACAGTTGTCATTCAGTCTAACTACTGTTTTAAAAAACAAATGCAAACTGTGATTGATGTTAAATACCCTAAAATAGCTAGAATAAAATGAATTTTAAAACATTCCTGATACTATGGATGTTCAGTTAAACAATTTGTATCATATCAAAAGGCATAGGCATTACTCAGTTATCCAAGTATGTCATTTTTATAAGCAAGTTCCAATGAACAGTTTACAACAAAACCTTTTTCCCATTACTCCCTTTCTAATGTGCTTACTTTGAAGAATATCATTATGATGAAAATTCCTGTATAATACTTGGAAATATTTATGAACTTGTTACAAGTGAAAAGGGGAATTGACAAAGGTTATTTCATCTCACTTGAGTCATTCTACATAACATTCAATGTATTGCTAATTAAGAGCTGTGGGATGTCTGCTCTATACTAGTTCTTTTTAATTTAAAAATTATCACCTTCATTTATTTTTATTGTAAATTACTTCTTTCCATACAACAAAATGATCAGTTATAGATGCAATGAAAGATCTGTGATCACACAGTGGGACAAATGGCAAGTTTGCTAAAGGCAGGTTTCTTAAAATGTGACATCTATGAAATAACTCACTCATGTGTTTGTCTTCAAGCCCAGATCATGCAGCAACTTTATATTAATTACCATTTACTATAACTTGGGGGTGGAGGGGTAGAAGGAGGAGGGAGAGAAGGAAGAGAGAGAGAGAGAACTCCCTTTATAACAGAGGTTTCTAACATAGTCAGTGAATTTCATATATATAGATGTATATATATGTGTGTGTGTATATACATATATGCTTGTGTATATTTTATACACACACACACACACACACACACACACTGCATTTCAACATAATTAGTTTCCTTTGAAATCCTAAGAATTTTTTAATGCATTTAAAGCGGGTCAATGGGCTTCATCAGACTCCTCCAGGGATCCATGAAACAAAAAAATGTTAAACACTCCTTCCTTATAAACTAATTTTTAATTATGCCTACATGGACCTTACAACAACTATCTATTTTTCAAACAAATTAGAGGGATAATTTTTGAAAGTCTGAACAGGTTACTTAAATATTTCAAAGAATAATGACTCTGTAAGAATGGTTATTCCTGTTCCACCAATGCAGACTGAAACCCTTAGCAAACTTTTTCATGAGTTTCTGTGACCTAAAAATACCATCCCCTGGTGTCCACCCTTCTGATGATTAGGCTCTCCTATTTAGTTAGCCTTATCTTTAACTGAAAGGCACACTATATCTCCCTGACATCCCTATCCACTTTAGTGTGACCTGCAAGAAGTTAAATTCCAGTAGTCTTCTTCCTTTCCTTTTAATTTGATTTTTAGTTTATAAAATAAAGCAAGCATTTCCATAACATAGTATAATAAAAAAATTACATTTTAGATAAGTGAGATTTGATATCTATCTGGAGAGAATTAAATGGAAATAGAAAGGAAGACCACTTTTTCTCAGTGGTTCAGGTCAGCCTTCAAGAACTGAAAAAGGATGAGAAGTTACAGGGAAAGGAAAAATGTAAACAAATACACAAATGGTAGTTTCAAGACAAACTTCTCAGCATGAAGCTAAACCAGCTCAATGACTCATGTTAATCTGAAAATTTTAACAGCCTCTATCTCACACACCATTTCCCTTGGATGGAAGGCTTCTTCCTGGCGAATGACAAGAAGGCTCACAGTTCCTCCCATCTTGGTGCTTCTAAGCAAGGAGACAACCTCCTCTTGGGTTCTGCCTGTTAAATCTACTCCATTTACCTAAAACAAATAGAGCATTGAAAAAGCCTGTTAGACTAGACAAGATGCAAGACAAATGGTGCAGCTGAAGATAAAACTATTCCACAGAATATATTATCCAGTGACTCATAAAATCTGGGATTGAATCAATGTGCAAACTCTCTCCACTGACACAGATCAGAGCTCTCCACACATTGGTACAGCTTCTGTGGCTGAAAAAACAATGCAGAGTCTAAAAACCAAAGTTGTAGAGATGAGCCTCTCTGAATTTAGCCCAGCTGGTCCTCGGACAAACAGGTACGCAAACTGTCATTGGGTCCATACCCAAAGACTTTGTGAAAACAGCCATAAATTGGGTCTTCTGGTAGTCCTAGAGAACTCAACTATGCTTCCAACACATGATGGGTATCTATGGAGATGGATATGACTGGGTACAACTAATGCATTGGAATCAATCTTTTAAAATGTAGTCACCACATGGGAGAGTGGAGGAAAAGTATCAATGAGTTTATTATAGCTAAAATAATGCTTCATATATCCATAAGAAAATAGTAGCAGAAATTTAAATAGTAGCCATTAAAATCAATAAATGGCAACCCTCCTAGAAGAGTTGAAGTATTGAATAGGAATTTGAAAATACTGACTGGCTTGAATACTATTGGCTGTGACATGAAATTTCTAGGACATTTTATATAATAAATCCTTTAAACACTGAAATAAGTCTTTGCTATTTTAGCAGGTAATGAAAATCATGTTGAAAGTGCATGAGGACTCAATTTTAATTTGAAAGTTTTAACCCTGAAAAACTTTTGAAAAGTGATTGCCCCTTCCCCCTGCCTGGTAACTCTTCTACTCTGAGATTCTTCAAGTCCCACAGTCTTATAGAAAATATAGAAATTCATTATTTTAATGTTGAAAAGAAAATTTCCCCCAGAAATTATACAGCTTTCTAAGGGGTGAGGGGAAGGGGAGAACAACCTTCCTATATTGTGATTAAAAGTTGTTTGTAATTTACAACAAAAACCTGTGACTTCAGAAAAACTAAAAAATTCAAGGAGAAAAGTGTTATTTCAACAAAGTTCTGTGTATTTAGCTAAAAAAAAAGAAAAAAAGGAAAGGGGGGAGGGGAACTATAAGTTACTATAGAGTAACTTAAAGATGGTATCTATATAACCCCATTGTACAAAAAAATAAGGCACATTAAAAAATATTACTGTGGCTATTCAGATGTGAAAAATTAGTTGTTATTTTGTGTGCAAACAGCTTCTATGAATGATTAAGCAGAGGATAAGAATATAAAGGGTTGAGGCCATGGACACAGACAAAAAGATACAACAAAATGATGCTAAATGATCAATGGCAAATACAAAAATAACTCCTTCACCTACATTTTTCTGAGGTCACACCAAATGTATCCATAGTAACTTCTTGCAAGTAAGGATTATTATACTCTTTGTAGTTATATTCCTAATGCCTAGTACTTGTAATAGGTACTCAATAAGTACTTGTTGATTAAATGATCTTTAAAGGAAGTTGCTGCTATTTCATCTGAATTGCTAATTTTTAAGGTACTAGAGAGATCACTCTAAAAATGTATTTGGGAAAAAGGTTTCACCATGTCTTGAATGGTAACCTGACAATTATGGAAAATTCAAGAGCTTGTGCAAAGTATATATCTTTTCTCAAAATATCTCACCTCATCTAGTCTTATGAGTTTCAAGTCTATCTTTATAGAGAAGGCCTTAAATGTATAAATGAAATGTTAATGCAAGAAGTTAAGCATTTCATTCAATATATGCAGAAAACATGGAGAGATGTAAGGGGAGTAGGAAGGAAGTGATAGTATGATTTAGAAGTGCAAATGAAAGAAATGTAAAATATATTGTCCTGCCTTTGTGGCAAGAATTTAGTTTTTGAAGATAGCATTTGGAAAATGCAGACAAGAAAAAGCAAAAACATGAATGGAAATACATAGAGAATACAGAACAGTGATATATTCACCATTTATATTAATGTTCATAATTGATCCACTGGCTCTCAATAATTGAAGGATAGGTGATTCTGCTGATAGAAAGACTAGATGTTTTCTAAAGAAACAGCTTAATAGAGGAATGAAAAAGCTTATTTTTTTCCTCTACATACTGTTAGAGTTGATTTCAAAGGAAGTATAATAGAAGTTCATAAATATGCAAGATATAATCCACCCAAAGATATCTTTATTGGCATTAAATTTTTGTCTCAATTCATTGTGTTTATTCCATGGCTGCTATTTTTTGGTTCCAGTTCTTTTCCCGTGAACTGCTTTTCATTTGCTTCATTTTTATATTTTCCAGTCAAAAGATATAGAGAATTTCTGTTTCCTCAGATAAACTCCTAATCAAGCAATAAATCCAAACAAGGGCTAAATCTATATACTACCAAAATGCTTTATTAATTCACTCAAAATTTCAGCAAAATATTTTTTTTAACTCCGTCAATCCAAATGTTTGATTATGAAAAGCAACTTCCTAAATGACTACCTTAATTTTTGACTGAAATGAATGGATTGATTAGGTGTTTTGTCGTCATGTAGACACAACCCCACACTGAGAGAAAAACATTACACTAATTGAACTGTGTTCTATGTACTCTGCTGCAAAGCAGAATTTACTGTTTAAACCTGAGCATATATCTGTACAAGGCAGCATAAAAGAAGCAGTCATGTAATTCCCCAAAATGATTTATGGGTTTGGGTTTTATTTTAAAGATTAAAGGAATAAGTCACTTACCTCCACAAGCCTATCTCCTGCTTTTAGTCTACCATCTTGAATAGCAGCCCCTCTGGGAAGGATATTTTTCACATAAATTGGAGCTGAGCCACCAACTGGAACATCTCTGGAAGTGATGCTAAAACCCAAACCTTCTGAACCTGGGCAAATAATAGAAATGATTGCGATTTTCACCATTTGAAAGTGCTTTGCTTTTAGATGATTTATTAATGATCCCACAAAACACTGCAAATGGGCATTCTTGTTCTATATCAATTCTATATGCTCAGATTTTCTGAGACAGAATTAATAAAGTTAAGGGAAGTCAGGAGAATAAACAGCATTGCAGGTAGAGAATAAAGAAATTTCTAAAACTTAAATTATGTAATTTACTGACAATGACTGAATTTTACCACCTTCATTTGGTACTCTTACATTCTAGCTAAGTGTTCCTATGTTTATTTCTCAAACTATAAGTGGAATTGTGCCATCTAAGACAAAAAATAATTACTGGATTAAAAAAATCATCTTACTCTTTGGCTACCATCTCAAAAAATGATCAAATTACATTTAATGGAGATGAAATTAATGAAGCATTAAAATAGGACTGATTTGAATACTTTCAGTTCTTAAGTTTTTGGCAGGATTTTCTGACATGCAGTACTATATGTTGAATATAATGTAGGAAGAAGGTTATGTGTATCCACAACCGACAAGAAATAACTCAAAACGAAGCAAGGTAAAATCTAAAGATAATAATTTGTCAATTATAATTATGACAAATTTCTACTTTAGTTTCAAAAATTATTTTTGAAGACATTAGATTTTATTTCAGTTTAAAATGCTATCTTGGACACACTTGATAAAAAGGACTCTGTGTTATATGGATATCATTAAATCATAACAAGTCATATATAAAAGAAATATTACTGGTTGTAAATACATAAACAAAGTTTTGAAGTCTAACATTTAAAAATATAAGCTTATTAGCTATGTGATCACAAGACAATTACAATCTCTCTACCTCAGTTTCCTGATCAATACAACTATTCTTCAATTACCTACTTCACAAAATTGTGATGAGGAAGGGTTCTATAAACTTTCCAGGAATATGTAAATTTGAGGTTACAGTTTTAGTAAATATTGGTTTAAATAAAAGTGAAAGAAATTCATTTAGTTGAAACTCAGGTCATTTTAACTCAAGAAACATTTATTAACTAGCTATGGTGTAGTGAGCACAAAGCCAAGTGCTTTCCGTCACAGAGTTTATCTGATAGCTACATATGATACATACAAAGACAACTACAATATTATAAAAATGCTCAAAGGATCGTAGATCCAGACCTAGAAAAGGCCTTAGAGGTGATCTAACCCAACTGTCTTATTTTATAGATGAGAAAAATAATCATTACATCAGCTTGGTTTTTTTAAGTATATGATATGCATCTGAGGGTGACCTTTACATAGACCTTTCAACCCTCATAATGTAAACCCTTACCCAAGCAGATTGTCTTTTGCTGCTTGTTCTCACCCATTTCCCACCTCTGTGCCTTTGTCCTCACATTGTTGCCTATATCTAAATCGTCTTCTGAAATCTTCTCTGCCAGTGGAATAACTATTCGTATTTTAAAACCAAACTTAAATGCCACCTGAAGCATTCTCTGATCTCCTTGGTTGGTTGATAACATCTTTATCGCCTGGCCCTTCCATCTCCCAAAAGTATTTAACATGTAATACTGTTTATTAAATCTATCAATTTGTGATATACCCTCTTCCCCCCTCACCAAAACACTTGCCTCAAGATTCCATGAGGATAAGAGAACCTAACTATTTAGCATTCTCCCCTTCCCTTCTTTTCCACCCTCTCCCCCAACTCCCACCTCCAGCCTGGAACTATGCTGTGTTATACTCTGCAAACAGGACAGCTTAATAAATAAGTTTTACATGAATAACTTGAGAATTATCAAAAGAATTATGGAGAAAGGACAGTAGGATATGAGAGAAATCAGAACACACAAAATACCCTCCCTCCCCTCCACCCCTGAAAAGTTTGCAAATAGGTTTATATCTAGAACAAAATTTTGCTTATTACGACTCCAAAGTAATGAATTTGTTCAGTAAGAGAAAATGAAAACTGATTTTTTTCTCAAGATTGGTCAGTTTCAATGGAATAATTTAATGTGCTCGTAATTGCTCATATTTTAAGCTATTTGCTAGGATCACAAGCATAATACACCATCTCCATGATATTTCTTTCAAAATTTTCTACTGGAATTTTCCCACATGTCTGTTTTAATGGGACCCTAGTGACTTACAATATCATTTTAATAAGGGGGGTGAATCTAAACTCCTCTCACTTTGCCATCTTAATTTGTATGAACTATAAAGACTGACTGTTGTGTGAACCTCAGTATTATTAAAATATCACCAATAACCCCTAAATCTGTATGCTAAAAGTTCAGGCAGTGACCTTTAAAAGAAAGATAAATAGATATCAATTTTCATTTAGAAAAGCCAACAAAACATTCTGTACTGACTGAAACATATTACTGACCTTCTCCTCTGACTTTATTAAAAAGCTAATTCCTGTGAAAGATCAGAGTATTTGAAAATGCCAAAATGGCAATAACTATTAAGAAATCATAATTATAGAAGCAAAGACTTGTGGGCTGTCTGAATTTTGTCATTATGGATGTCATAGTTCCAAAAATATGTCAAAGAATCACTTCAATGAAGAATGTCTCACTTTTTATCAGATAAAGACAGATGATTTCCTTGCAACAAATCACTATTATTTAGGATATGCTAGTTGGAATCTGAAGTCTTGGACATGTTATGCTTTAGTGAAAGCTACAAAGAAATTTTAACCTAATGACACCAATTAGTAAAATAACCATTGCCTATTACTGAAATTGTATTTGTTAGGTTCCTTAAATCCTCTTTTCTAATGGCATCCTTCATTAGAGATAATCAAAGACAATCGAAATCCTCATTCTATTCATACTTATAATACACTACTTGGGGGTATGGTTAAACATTTTGCTTCATTTATTGCTCCACATGGATGATACCCCAGTAATCAAATGAAAATAGCATTAGGGAGTTGGGCCTCCACTGTGCATGTTGGTATTAACAAATGTTAAAAAAAAAAAGGCTAAAAAAGGAAGCTGTTACTTATTTCTTCTGTTGTTTTCTAATCTAAGAAACAAAAATTAAGTATTAAACACTGCTAAAAGTACATTGCTTACTCTCTAATGCTTTTAAAGTGAAATAAATATTTTATTAGAAATGACTAACTACAATTTCTGAATATAAAAAAATTTTCTTGATGACAACATTTTCAAATCATCACCAGAGTTTAACTATCATGCTAGAATTTTTCAAATATACTTACTAAAAAATTATTTTGTGAAAAAAATGGTAATTTTCTAAATTAATGGATTTGGAGCTGCTTAAAAGACCAAAAATATTTAGAAAAGCAGTAACTTTTACATGAATAGTTCCAGTGACAGTCAGACATAAAATTGGGAAATTTGTCACCATGAGAAGCCCGAGGCATATTTTTGGTCAATTTTCTATGGACATTTTATTAAGTTATTTCATTATATTCTTTCTAAATGAGGAGTGTCATTCAGTGACCATAAAACATAACTGAAAGAGCCACAATTAGATTTATGCTGATGCCCTTAAGTCTTGTTGGAGGAAAATCCACCACAGACAAGCTGTCAACTCTAGCTTCTGTCAGGGAGGTTTATAGAGCTGAAAATTCAGAAACCAGAAACAAGCAATGTGGTGTTCATGGGAAGTTCATTTAGTGCTAACACAGTTTTAGAAAGGAGATAAACACTTTATATTCAAAACTCCTCCAACTCTCTACTGAAAGTAGAAAATAAGGCATTGGTACAGGAAGAAGATTTGAGGTCTAAATCTGATGCTTGACATCTGCTTTGGGCACCAGTTTTCCTATTTTACAAATGAGGCAGGATACCTTATCAAGTGAAAAATTATATGATTCAATGATATTGATAAAGAGAAATGAGTGGAAAACATTAATGTTGTCATAAGCGAAATAAGCTATAAAGGTTATGATTTTTTTTCAAATGACACATTTTCATGTGTTTCTGGATTGAGACATACTTTATTCCACAAATCATTCTTGAGTACCTACTCGTCTATCTTCTACTTCACTTGAATGTGCCTGTTTTCAAATATAATAATAAACCTATGGAGACATGTTGGAACAGAAAGTATTTGAGTTGGTATATTGAAACAACTCATCAATTCAGTTTTTAAATATAGGCAAATCAATTGTTTGACTGAATTGACCAGTTGAGTCAGTAAAAAGAAATAAATATTGCAGCTATAATTGAGCTGAAGGTGGTATTAACACATCACTGGCAGCAAAGGAGTGATGACTCAGTTTGAGGTACCTTTGTAACTTAGCAACATCTCCTTATTTGAGGTTCATGCTGTCCACAGTTATCACCTGATCCAGATCCTAGTGGACATTTTACCCAGGACATTCTTTCCTTTTTCAATTATATCAGTGCCTCTCTGATTAACAGTCTTTCTATCACACTTTCATAGTAAGGCATTCCTATGTAAATGCTTATATTCCTCTGAAATACCCCACTCTCCCAGTTCTTCCATCTCACCCACTGGTACACATGACATACTACCCAATTCATCTTCAACTATGCACAGAGATGTTATATCCTTCCTTGAAATTGCCATCACTCAGATGTATCACATGTCTATATTCATGATTCTGAAATCATTTTTTCTGATCATCATCTTTTATCATTTCATCTTTCTCTATGCCTTGTAACCTCTTGCCATTTTTCTTCTTCACCATGGCCTTCATTCCTTCTATCATCCTTTCTCAATCTGTCTCCCCTACACTGGCCACACTTCCATTTCTTCCTCATAACAGGCCCTTGTTGAATCAAATTGCCTCCAATTATCTCCACTCTCAAATCCATTGCTCCCTTGTCCTTTCCCAATTACATTTTTTCAAAGCCCGACTGTGGATCACATTCACCATCTGCCTCCTTCACTTCTATTCATGTGCTGCTAAATGGAGCTGGAAGAATTCACAAAACCGTGTTGACTAGGTCCATGACAAATATATGCTATAAAATCACCCCAATTGTATGCATTAAACATGGGTGTCCCCAAGACTCCATCCTTGGCCATCTTGTCTTCTTACATTATACCATCTCACTTGGTGATCTGATCAGCTTTCCAAGAGCTCAATGAATATCTCCAGAAAGATGACTCCCAAATCCTTATATCCAGGTTTAAAATCTCTCCTGAGTTCCAATGCTCCAATTGCTTTTTGAACATCTCAAACCAGATATAGGCACCTCAAATTCAATATGTCCAAAATATGAACTCATTATCTTTCCTCCCTCTCTGAATCCACCCCTCCACCAAAATTTCCATTATGTTATAATTGCCTATTTTCCACTTGATTATAGCATATCTAGAAGTTTCTTTTACCTACTAGAATCTTCAAGTTTTGTTTTTCCCTCACAATTGGCAGTAGAAATAACCTAATAAAGTTATTATCAAAAATAAGGTCTAAAATCATGAACTATGGAAGCAAAGTAATGTTCTTTGAAACATATACTGATATTTACATGTTTAATGATTTTTAAATACCTCATATGTATTTATTTAGGGTTCAATGGTCTGAAGATGGCTCACAATATAATGGAAAAAACCAGTTTCTTAAAAAATAAAAATTGAACACAATAAAAATTGAATGTAAGTCTTACCTTTCTTAAGCTGGATATTAAGCCTCTTTCCTATTTTTTTGGTGTTATAACCACTGCTTGGAGTTGGACTAAGGACATTTTGCTGTGAGGGAGACACAGTTGATGGCAGTTTTCCTGCCATGTTGGCACTATGAGGTAGGTGTGAGTAAGAGTCTGTTTGGTCAGCCTGATGATTCAGTCTGGGTATTCTTTGGAGTCCAGGAAGTCCTGCACTATTAACACTCTTGTTATCCATATACTGTGTGTCGGGGTTGAAGCGGTTTGAATAGTAATTGTTCTTCTCACTTTGAGATAGTTGTTCATACTGTTCTTTCTTTGCCGCAGGGACCACATGGAACCAAATGATGGGTGTACGCATGGCTTGGCGAAACATATGTTGTGCTCTGGGTTTCAGAATGAATGAAAATTAGCAAATTAAGACTGGCAGACTAGGAGCATTATGAGCATAATTAAGTAGCCTAATTAAGCAACAAGAACTGACAGATATTGCTGAAATTAAAATGAAAACTAAAATACCAATAACCTATTGGTCAATCAACCTTACATCTTTTGATGAACCAAAGATGCTGCACCAGATAGGAATTACATGTCATTCTTGGGAAAAAATAAAGAATAAAATGAACTATAACTGAAGTATATTATACACTAACTCTTGACTATGGGCCATATTAATTAAGAGCTTTATGTACATCACTAAACCTCCAATGAAGTTAAATATCATCTTCAATGAAATTAAATATCATTATCCATATTTTCCAAAATAATTTTTAAATATTTAACAGTAAATTTGTAAGTATTCCAAGGAATAAAATTTTGTACAAATTTATTTAGAAATTTAAATGATAACTATCAGTTGACTCCCTATTGCACGCTGTAAATATATGGAAAAAAGTCATCAAAAATCTAAGCACACATCTACTTTTGATTCTTTTACGTGCAGATTCAGGGCTGCTATTATTTGTCACATAATTTAAAACATTAAAAGTAGTGGGTTCCATTTCATTACGTGGTATGGTTATATTTAAACAAATTATAGTACCTCATTCTAATTCCTCAAATAGAAGTGTCTAATATTTACTTAAGCCTTCCACTACACAGCCCACCCTGAAAAACACCAAAGAGGAGGAAATGTTGTTTTCTCTTTTAGACATTACTTAGAAAACTATAGCAAAGATCCCCTGGAATTTAGGCTTATAGCTTCTCTATATTGGCCTGCACCAAAGCAGGAAAACTCAGACAGCCTGCAGAGCAGTTCTTTCATACTAGGATTCACAGGAGTTTTTCTTTTCTTAAGAATAATCTTTAAAAATAGCATGGAAACTCCTTAAGTAAAAGATATTGTGAAAACTAGAAGAATGGTGGATTTTCCCAAGATAGTAGCAAGAGTAGTAAACAAGTAGCAGAGTAGTAAAAGTGAAATGGGACCATATTGGATTTAAGAGATGAGCCCTATCAGTCAAAGGACATTTCACATGTAGTCTAATGGAGGTGATTATACAACTATTGTTGTAGTTGTTCAGTTGTGCCTGACTCTTCATGACCCTGTGGAGCACACAGTCCATAGTTTTCTTGGCAGGCACTGGAGTCATCTGCCATTTCCTTTTCAAGTGGATTAATGCTGACATTAAGTGATTTGCCTAGGGTAACACTGCTAATAAGTATCTGAAGCCAGATTTGAACTCAGGTATTCCTCACTCCTGAACCAGCACTCTATCTACTAAGGCTATTTAGCTGCCCTGATTATGTAGTAATTTAATTAATTAAAATTTTTAAAGGCAGGAAAGGGAAAAACATTGCTATCAGGAAGCCATACTTAGACATTTTGCTGCAAAGGTTTCAAATACCTGCCCTGCAGGATATCTAAAGCTTGAAAGCGTGGATGTTTTATAGCAGGTATACTTACTGTTCAAATCTTCTGTTGCGAAGGTCTCCATCGTTAATCCTGACAATGCAATCATTCTCATGAAAAAGGTTTTCTTGTTCAGCCTTACCGCCTTTTTCCAGTCGTTTCACTAATAACCCCAGAGTTCTGGAACATTAAGAATGCAAATGATTATATATGCAATATCTCCTAGGTTCATATGATCCTACTCAATTAAAAATACTATGAAATTCACAAGGTTTTTCAATGGAAGGTGGGATGTACACTAACCCACTACCAGTGATTTTTTGAATGGGACTGCCATCTCATTATTTCAGGTAAGCAGTGTAACAATATCCGGAAGAACTTGTTATCTCCATCATGAAAAGAACCCATTGCTAAGAAAGGAAGAAATCACTTTCTGACATATCAGAGTAACAAATTTTGGAAACAAACTATAACATTCTGTTCATGGACAACTGCTTGAAAAAGAGCTAGCCTGATGGCTCAGTGAATGTCACAGTGTGCAACATGTGAGAAGCATGTTTTTGTCAACACTTTTGGCAGGATTTTTGCTGTAAGCCAGTTTCATGCCATGCTGAGTGAGGATGCCTCTCTTAGAGAGAGAAAAAAAAAAGATAATCAGGTACTTCTGATCTCAACAGCCTGTAGTTAACAGAGGAATAGCTGGGAGAAACATACATAGCTTCATCAACTATTAGGTTTTCCTATCTGAGATAAATTCAGAGATTTACAGAAGAAATAATTTCCTGAGTTAGCATTTACATTCAGTAGATGCTTTACATTCTGCATTTCAAAACACTTTACTTCTCGCAATACTAACTAGGCTAATATTTGTATTTCTATTTGAAAAGGTGACAGAATCAAGATAAGGAATTTTAAGGCAATGGCTGATACAAGGCCTAATGATCTTTCCCTCCAAATTACTGTTCAAATTACCTAAATATGACCCCCAACCCCCCCCCAAAAAGTTGGGTAAAGCTTTGAAAGGTGTATTTGGAACATACTAAGAAAAGTAAAGCATGAATTAAAAGCATATGGTGTGCAGTACTGAGTAGCTAGACAGCACAGTGAATGACTGTTGAGCATAGAATCAGAAGACCTGAGTTCAAGTTCTGCCTCAAATACTGACTTAGTAGCTATGTGACCCTGGCCAAATACTTCACTTCCCTCAGCCTCAATTTCCTCATCTGCAAAATAGGGAAGTTAGACTTTAAGGTCCCTTCCAGCTCAAAACGTACAATTCTATGAATTCTTCACTCATCTAACACCTTTCTGAGTGCTGAAACACATGGAAGATTCCTTTATGACAACTTTGCCAATTGGTAACTAATAGTATTATTTGCCTAGTTGGCATATTTTTGTCTATTTGTGCATTGATTTAGTTATATATTTACTAAAAAAAAAAAGTATCATATCTATGTGGGAATTTAATACTTAAAGATTTATTATTATTTTCATAATTTGTGAAAACATTGTATGCCAGTGTTACCTTTCCTGTTTCAATTATATTTCAGATAATCAATCTAAATACTCAAATTGGCAATGTTGCAAAGTGATATGGAAGTTATTGGAACTTCTTGGAAGTCAGGAAGTTCACCAATAGAAAACTATCTTAAAATGAAATAATATATCATCTAAGTTTTTGCCTTTGAGGATCTTTTCTTTGATGAACATGGATTCTAGTGATCTATTTTCCACTGCTCATTCTCATAACTCTTTGTTTATATCCTCCATGGCATTTTTCACAGTTGATTTTGCTTAATATTTATGTGCATCATAGGACTTTAGTTCCCTTTCAAATTCCAGGCTCTTTAAGGTCAGAGCCTGTCCTTTATTCATCCAAGAATAGGATTAAACATTCAATAAATGGTAACTGAATGAAGAACCAGGTTTAGGGAAATTCTTGGAATGGGGTGAGCACTTAGTAAATGTTTTATTTATCTAGCTAAGTCAAACAATGTTGTCTAGTGACCACATTGAGATGAAATGATCACTGTTGACAGGGATTTCATGTTGAGATGCTACTCCATGAAAGTCATATCAAGGACGGGTCTTAGTTAGTTCAAATAAGAGAGATCCATTTCAACAAAATTTCTCATTTTGTTGTCTACTTAAATCACTATAACTAATGAAGCCATGGTTCAATTTTGACAAAATTTTGAACTTTACTAAAAGTTAATTAAGAATCACCCTGCTAATCCATTAAGTCATATATTAAAAGAAAATATAACTGATAAAAATATTTTCAAATGGGCAGATCTCCTATGACTGTACTGATTTCACAAAACAACCATTTTGAAAATTCAAGTATTAAAGATAATTTTCAGTGAATTTAATGATAAGTGTATACATTGCTAGAATCATTCATGAATAGGACCAGGATTGAAAATGGAGCATCTCAAGGGAAAGGACAAAGGTGAGTGTTAATTTGAATAACCATTCAATAAATTACGTAATAGGTAGGATTCTAGAAAGATATTCACAAATTACCAGGCAACTTTCTTAGTGTTGAATTCACTTTTGGAGAATGAAAATAAATAAATAAGTCAGTCATCTACTCAGCACCCAAAAAAGAACAGATTCTCATAAAATTGATTTGATTAAGTGGTCCTGGTAAAAATCAAGGAAAGTGACCTTCAGACCTAAGCTATGATTCTATGAAAAATGAAGTGGGAAATTTGAAAAATAAAATTAACATATTAGATACTGCTTTGCTTTTACACAGTCATTTATAAAAACACTGAAAGACAACTACAGAGAAACGATGACATGATCAGTAAACAGGTCATGTGAAAAAGGAAAATTATAACAGAACCATTCAAATTGTAGGCTCCCTGTTCCCCAATGTGTAAAGATTACTATGCTTATAAATGCCTGAAGTCATAGCATGAGTTTATAAGATATTAAAAGCTATATAATCAGCTTGCTAGGTCTTTAAATATTTACTGTTGAGGTTGTTACGATTGTTAAGTCATTTTCAGTCATATCTGATTCTTCGTGACCTCATTCAAGGCATTCTTGGCGAAAATACTGGAGTGGTTTGCCATTTCCTTCTCCAGCTCATTTTACAGATGAGGAAACTGAGGCAAATAGGGTTAAGTGACTTTCCCAGGGTCACACAGCTAGTGTGTGAGGTCAGATTTGAACCCATGAAGACGAATTTTCCTGACCCCAGACCCCGTACTCTATCCACTGTGCCACCTACCTGCCACTACTGTTGAGTTTAGTGAGTCAATAAACATTTAGTAAGCCCCTACTATGTGCCAGGCACTATGCTAACCACTGAGGATACAAAGAAAGGCAAAAGACAGTCCTTGCCCTCAAAGAGCTCATGATCTAATGAGGAAAGACTATGCCTAAAAAGAAGCTGAAAAGAAGAGTTGGAGGGAGAGAGGTATCAGCTATGAGGCATGATGAAATCCTACAACTGAATGGAAATTATGAGGTAGCTGCTTTGGTCCCCCTCCTTAAATGGAGAAACTGAGAGGAGCACTCCAATGTCCAGCCCCAACCTCTCTAATCAGAGAGAACTGATAGGGATGGGGGTACTAAGTTGCTAAGGAGGTGTGAGTTTTAGAATCGAGATTATCTTCAAGAAATGAGTTTCTGGAGAAATGAAGAACAGAGCAACCATGTGAGAAATGATGAGTTTGGGCCATAGTGCTCAGCTATTAAAATATTTTTTCTTTAAAACCAAAATGAGATATTTTATATGTAAGCAACCATTTATTGCAAGGATTTCAGCACTGGTAGAATCTTTAAAAATCTTCTTGAAAATATTTTATATACATCATCTTATCCTTCATTTTCTATAATATGATTTTAGAGGAATGCAAACAACGTGTTCATAATAGAAATCATTCAGCATTCTACTAACAGTGATCATCATAATGGAGTTTGTGCTGAGATGAATCATTAACAAGAGGGGGTACTTAAAATCATCCTCAGTGATCACAGTACTATTTTGTTTAACTTCAGAAAATCCATCTCCTAGAAGTCCTTTTACTATTTAGCTAAAACATGTGATCTTTCAACTAAATTTTGAACAACCATTTTCATGATATAGTAACATGATAATCCTTTTGAGGGCTATTTGATATCAACAGACTAGATGAATAAATCCATTTATTAAGTGATATGCAAACTTTTATAAATCTGATCATATTGTTTGATATCCCTTCAAAAATGATTTAACAAAGTTATAAGCTAAACATATTTCACTTCTTCAATAATTTATCTTTCTGATTAATCTAAATAAGCCCTCATATGTCAAGACTAGAATGTTATTAATCCTAACCTCTGGTAAAAACAC